CCTATAAAGTCACTTGAGTCTTTACTAGAAGTGGAGGGAGCAAATGAGCAGTCAGTTCCCTACTTAGGCTATGTAGAGCTCACTCTGACATTTCCTAAGGAGTTCTTGGGAGTAAAAGCAGAAGTTACCACATTAGCTCTAGTGGTCCCTGATTTGATGAACATGCCCCAAGAGAGTGCTTGAGCCGTGCACTTTCATCTGCGTGTACTGTTTCATGTTGGAGCGTGGTGTTCAGATCCCGGCACTCATGTCTTGAGTTTCGGTTTCGTGTCAGGGTCCAGACACTGACGCTCCATGTTGTGTGAGCGTGCGGTCTCGAGTTTGCTCGGCCGTGCGCTCTTCTGTCCACGTGTGTTGTGTTTTGTGTAGCACGCGGTTTGTGTTCAGCCGCGTACTTTTCTTGTTGTCTTGTGTTGTTGTTTTGTGTGAGCACATGGCTTTTGTCTTTGTTTCCTGTGTGCCATGTTCTCTCATGTCAATTGTCTTGACCCCACCCATCTTGTTGCCTGATTATTGGTTAATTTGCCCCACGTGTTCCCTCATTACCCTCCTCATATGCTCTCCATTTATTCTCCTTGTGTTTGCAGTCCAGGGGCAGTTTGTCATTGTATCTCCCTGGATGTGTCGTGTCATGTCCAGATCCTGCCTTGCCTAGCCTTGCCAGCCTGTTTTTCCCCCACGGGGTAGTTTTTGTTGTTTATTTTGTTTTATTTGAATAAAAAGCCCTTATCTCCTGCACCACTGAGTCCTAGCCTCATCCCTTCATACCCAACCATGACAATAATGGTAATATACAGCAGTGCTTGTGTTTCTAGTACTTATGCTGTGAAACTAAATATTTTCAAGAAACATAAACCTGAATTAATCATTAACTGAATTCCAAAGTAAGTTAAGACAAAATGAACAAAGCGACAATCAATTTATAAAAGAAAACCACCACAGAATATCTCAGGGAATGCGTTTGCTCTGCGTTACATATTTTAAGCTGACCTTGTATTGGAATTTTTTTTATTTATTGTTTAATGTTGTTTATCCATTCCTGGCCTTATGGTAATGTCCCATATTGGAATGTTTTATAATGTAACGTTATTTGTTCTGCACTATGTTGTGATATGTTTTCAGTGCTTACACCAAACCCAAATATGTTCAGTCAATGACTGTATACTGTGTTCAATAAACAAAACATTTGTGATAATCTGTTGCCCAAATATTTTATTTAATGTAATGTTGAATTGCTTTGCTTGTTAAGATAATGTAAACCCATCAGGCAAGAAAAACTTAAAAGCATATTCATATATCTTAAAACTTCTGGTTACACGAGCCTAAGCTCTTTTTTAATAAAATCCATGCAAAAATGAATATCAGATAATTTTTAGAATACAATATATCGTGTACCGCTGATTTTGGGCTTAGACGCGTCCCGTGACGTCATTGCAACTCGCATTCAGTCAAAGAAAGGTTTCTCCATTCCAAAAATTTAATGAACAGCCTTGCGTTCTCATCATGACCGATTTACAAGAGCTA